GCTGCCATATGGGTGCTGGGATTTGAACCCGGGTCTTCTGCAAGAACAGTCAGTGTTCTTACCCACTGAGCCATCTCTCCAGCCCCTGAAAATGAACTCTTAATGTAACACATGATCCTAGACTGAATCCTGAATCAAAATATTTTAGCCTTAGCTATATATACATTGTACTTTTTGTTTTTGAGGCAGGGTCTCACTACGGAGCCCTAGATGACCTGGAACTTGCTTCATGGCCTCGATTTCACAGAGATCCACCTGCCATTGCCGCACAAGAGCTGGGAGCAAACGTGTGTCACCAAGCCCAGCTGCTAGATTGTACATTTTGAAAGACATCCTTATCAACAATGAACAATTTGAGTGTGATAACACCACTGTAGTTTTAAGAATGTTCTTGTTCATTCAACAACGTTCCTAAAGTCTGTCACAGAGCCAAGTGCAGCTCTTGAGTCCCCACACCTCCTTGAGGATTAATAGGCAGTAAATGGTTGCTGGGGGAAAAGACATTTTAAGGTTGATTGATTGATTGATTGATTGATTCATTCATTCATTCATTCATTCATTCATTTTGGTCTTTTTGAGACAGGGTCTCCCTGTAGCCCCAGCTGTCCTGGAACTCACTATGTAGACCAGGTTGGCCTTGAACTCACAGAGATCCGCCTGCCTCTGCCTCCCGAGTGCTGGGATTAAAGGCGTGCGACACCACTCCCTGCTTAAGATTTATTTTTGTGTATGTGTGGTGCCCACTGAGGCCAGAACATGGTGTCAGAGCCCCTGAAGTTGCAATTACAGGGAACTGTGAGTCCCAAAATGTGGAAGCAGGCACCAAACTCATGTCCTCTAGAAGAGCATCAAGTGCTCTCAATGGCTAAGCATCTCTCCAATCACAGAGGGATTTTCTTCAATGGGGTAGCCACTGGTAGGTTGATAGAATACCTATGTTCCTTTGTTCAGCCCTCCTCCAGGAAGGAGAGGAGGGAGAGAAAAAAGTTAACGTGGTAAATGTTAATAACCTGACAATCTGGTTTTTTTAAAAGTCTACTAAACTATCCCTGCAACTTTTCGGTGGATGCTAAGCTTAATTAAAAACCTGGGTGGAAAGTGCTGTAGAGATAGCACAGCGGTTAAGAGCACCTACTGCTTTGCCTTTGCAAAGGACCCAAGCTCGGTTCCCAGCACCCAGGAGCGGTGAACTCCCGCCCTCTAACCTCAACCTCAAATGGCCCCTGCACTCATATTCTCATTCTCTCTCTCTCTCTCTCTCTCTCTCTCTCTCTCTCTCTGTAATAACGAATGCATCAAAAACCTGAGTGGAGGAAAGAGAATGGAGGAACTTTCTGGGGAGGGGGAGAGCAGGACAAAACGTAGTATTCAAAAGTAATTTTACAGGGAAATAAGCCACTGAAACCGAGGACGGCCAAACAGCCACAAACACGCAAGTGGTAAAAACACCGTCGGCACTGGGAACTGAAGTATAACAAAACACGATTTGCAAGTAAAGGGAGCGGAGGGTGGCAAACGCCCCAGACCCCTGGGAAATTCCGCGGGCAGCACTCGGCGCGGGGCAGGGGCGGTGGACCAGGCCGGGCCGCAGACCCACCCTCTCGGCCGGCCGGAGAGCACCGACCCGCACGCGGAGCAGCGTCCATACCGCCCGACGCGCCCTCCGCCGGGGAACCCGCCCGCCGACGCTCCGCTCGCCACCCCAGCTCCGGACACTCCTCCCTCCCACACGACTCAGCCGGGACGCTGAGGACCGAGGGACTCGGGGCGCGGCGGGACTCACTGTGGGCGGCCGGCGGCAGCCATGTTCCCGGCGACTGTGCATGCGCGGCCCGTCCCGGAAGTGCGCGTCCCGAGACTCTACTGCCGATACTTAGGAGCCCAGGGGCTTTGCATCCAGACCGGCTGCTGCCTGAGCCGAGCGCCTTCGCGCGCAGATCTAGGGGTGCAATGAAATCAGTGGCCTCGGTTCTAACTCTGCGTCACTGCAGACTCACAGATACTCTTTTTGAACCGTCATTTTGCGTTCGAGGAGGCTGGCGGCGATTCTGGGTCAAGAGAGCCTCTCACCTCAGCATCCCCAGGGGTCTCCCGATACTATCGCTTTTTCGCTATAAAGCCTTACTTTTTGTTTTTTTTTTTTTAATAGAAGGGTTTGGCCAGTTACTTGTTTCCTACTTGATTTTCAACCTCACTCTACCATTGCACTTAAAACCAGCTTTGATTTCTTTTCTTTTTTTTTTTGAGACAAGGTCTCCTTGTACCTCCAGCTGGACTGGCACTCGCTATGTGGACCAGGCTGGCCTTGAACTCACAGAGATCCGCCTGCCTCTGCCTCCGGAGTGCTGGGATTACAGGCGTGTGACACCATGCGCGGCCCTATAAAGCCTTATTTTTATTTGCTACATAACTTGACAAAAATACTGTAGGAAAAAATGTTAATATTCAGCCAAGTAAACACACCTCATTTACTGACAATTACAAACAAGCTAAGGGTTCTAGCTACATTGTGAATCAATGTGTTATACAAAAATCAGGATCTGAGAGATCCACCTGCCTCTGCCTCCGCCGGGGCTGGGATTAAAAGCCTGCACCACCAGCCTGGCACTTAGCTGCCTTTGAAACACATTCATCTTTGCACATCGACTGTATTTTTTTAATGCCTCTCAAATGCCAGAATTATAGGGTTTCATCATTCTGCCCGGCTAGAAAATTCTTAAAAAATTCTTTTATCACTCTGTAGCCCTGACTCATTTGGAACTCTAACTAGAGCAGGCTAGCCTGGAACGCACAGAGACCTGACTTCATCTGCCTCCCTAACGCTGGGGTTAAAGTAAAACCAATACGATATGGAAGAAATGTGCTCAGAATGTGCAGTTGCATGGAACACCCAAGCCTTGTCAGTATTGCAACGTAACTGCAGCTTTCACTGGCAATAAACGCCAGCGCTGCACAGATTCAGAGGAGTATGGACCCCGGTACTCCTGTGAGCAGTGCAAGCAGCGATGTGCAAGTGACAGGAAAGATGACAGGAAGACGACAGATGGGAAGCTGCTGTGCTGGCTGTGCACACTCATATAAGCATGTCCTCGGGAAGACCGGAGAGCACAGGAACACACCTGAGCAGCTCTTGTGCCAGCCATCAGGAGGAGCAGCAATACAGCCGCCTACGTGCTAGCCGCCATTATAACAGCTTTTCTACACATGGCCTCTATCGTCATTGCCCAACTGGCTACTCTGAAGCCGTTGCATCAAAAGGATTAAATGAGCCTACAGAAAGGTTAGAGTTGAAGGCTGATTTTCAGTACCAGGAATTCCAGATGAGGGCCAAAATGAACCAGATGGAGAAAGCCCACAAAGAAGCCACAGAACAATTGCAGGCCAAACACGGGGAGCTCCTGAAGCATACAGCCTGCTTTGTCCCCAAGCAAGAGATCTGAGAAGTCCGGCACTGTAACCTCCCCTGGTCGGACCACAAGGAGGCTCCCAGCAACCGCAGACAGTTGCTCTGGCTTAAGGTTGGCAACCTAGCTGTTCTCTGGGAATTATAAGCTTTCTTACAAACTATTTGATTATCATTATCCTCCTTCGAGCGGACGGAGAGGGCTGAGTGGGAACACCTGGTTTGTGCTGTTAAAGACCGCATGCTGTTCACGGTTTCAGTTCTTCATCTTCCCTCCTCTTCCTCACTTTTTCTTCCTCCCCCTCCTCTTCCTCTCCTCCCTCCCACTGTTTTGGTACTGTTTTCTGTGGTGGTCACTGCTGAGTGTTGTGTGCAGAATGTTTTCTCTCCATCATCGCATCCTGCCATACCCATGAGCAAAGTCTAGCATCCACCATCTCACTGCCACCCTCTGAACTTTGAAAACTGCCACCTTAAGGCTTTGTACAGCAAGAGGCTCTCTCCAATGAACCTCTGCTTCAGGGTGTACTCGGGGTTTTTCCAGGTGTATTATATCTGAACTTTGTACTATATAGACATTTATTTTTTTCTTAAAGTAAACTTTTTCTTGATAGAGGAATAATAGTAGCCTAGCTAATTCTTGTAAATGTGATAGCTCTTGGAAAAGGAAAAAAAAAAAATCGGTCCATTTTGGTAGCTTTTACTAAAAGAACCAGATCTTTTCTTTGTTGTTACCTTAGTCTTAAAAACTGATTGCTAAGGTAAAGGGTTCAACGTGTAAGGATGGAGTTAAGTGCCTTTTGGAAGATTTTGTGGAAGAGTGTTTGAGGAGCTACTGAAGGAAGGTTGCAAAGATTTAACAATCTGTCCTTTTAAGTGAGGGCAGAAAGAAAGGTTGTCCAGGTTGTACTGGACACTGCCTCCTCTATCCTCCTTGTTCTTTTCTGTAACTCATTTTAAATTCCCACACTGCCACTTTTTGTAAAATGTGTGCCCTTATATTGCTTATGCCAGCTGTCACATCAGGCCATTATCAGAATACTTTTTTTTTTTTTTTTCAGGAGCAGTGCTAGCCGCCATTATAACAGCTTTTCTACACATGGCCTCTATCGTCATTGCCCAACTGGCTACTCTGAAGCCGTTGCATCAAAAGGATTAAATGAGCCTACAGAAAGGTTAGAGTTGAAGGCTGATTTTCAGTACCAGGAATTCCAGATGAGGGCCAAAATGAACCAGATGGAGAAAGCCCACAAAGAAGCCACAGAACAATTGCAGGCCAAACACGGGGAGCTCCTGAAGCATACAGCCTGCTTTGTCCCCAAGCAAGAGATCTGAGAAGTCCGGCACTGTAACCTCCCCTGGTCGGACCACAAGGAGGCTCCCAGCAACCGCAGACAGTTGCTCTGGGTTAAGGTTGGCAACCTAGCTGTTCTCTGGGAATTATAAGCTTTCTTACAAACTATTTGATTATCATTATCCTCCTTCGAGCGGACGGAGTGGGCTGAGTGGGAACACCTGGTTTGTGCTGTTAAAGACCGCATGCTGTTCACGGTTTCAGTTCTTCATCTTCCCTCCTCTTCCTCACTTTTTCTTCCTCCCCCTCCTCTTCCTCTCCTCCCTCCCACTGTTTTGGTACTGTTTTCTGTGGTGGTCACTGCTGAGTGTTGTGTGCAGAATGTTTTCTCTCCATCATCGCATCCTGCCATACCCATGAGCAAAGTCTAGCATCCACCATCTCACTGCCACCCTCTGAACTTTGAAAACTGCCACCTTAAGGCTTTGTACAGCAAGAGGCTCTCTCCAATGAACCTCTGCTTCAGGGTGTACTCGGGGTTTTTCCAGGTGTATTATATCTGAACTTTGTACTATATAGACATTTATTTTTTTCTTAAAGTAAACTTTTTCTTGATAGAGGAATAATAGTAGCCTAGCTAATTCTTGTAAATGTGATAGCTCTTGGAAAAGGAAAAAAAAAAAATCGGTCCATTTTGGTAGCTTTTACTAAAAGAACCAGATCTTTTCTTTGTTGTTACCTTAGTCTTAAAAACTGATTGCTAAGGTAAAGGGTTCAACGTGTAAGGATGGAGTTAAGTGCCTTTTGGAAGATTTTGTGGAAGAGTGTTTGAGGAGCTACTGAAGGAAGGTTGCAAAGATTTAACAATCTGTCCTTTTAAGTGAGGGCAGAAAGAAAGGTTGTCCAGGTTGTACTGGACACTGCCTCCTCTATCCTCCTTGTTCTTTTCTGTAACTCATTTTAAATTCCCACACTGCCACTTTTTGTAAAATGTGTGCCCTTATATTGCTTATGCCAGCTGTCACATCAGGCCATTATCAGAATACTTTTTTTTTTTTTTTTTACAGGAGCAGATTCAAATGAGATTGTATGAACTCTAGGGCACCTCTGGAGGTTGGTATGGGCTGCTCAGGTGCCTGCTGAGTCTAACCACAGGAAGCATCACTGTGCTTTCTTCCCACCCCTCACCCCACCCTGTGCACTCCCTACTTAAATGGAAATGTTTAGAAAACAAGCACTCCTGAAAGTGGCTAGGCCTCAGCCTGAGTTGTATGGACCCTTCTCCTGACCAGTAGGCACATGGAAAGGGGGACAGATTCACATTGCTCCCTGCACTGTCCACGGGATATTTGTGAAAGAAGCTACAGATTTGTGGTATCTGCCATGGCACAGGACAAAACTACCCTGTAATCATTCATGCAGACAGGCACTTACTGAGTTAAGAGTTAATTATGAACAAGTGACATTTGTACCTCAGGGCCCTGATAGTGTAACAGTAACTTCACCTTGTTAGAAGCAAACATTCTGAAATTGGTGATTGCATTCTCAAAAGAGGAGCCACACAGAGTTGGACAGAGGCAACAGAGAGAGGCTTCCCTCCGACAAGAGACATGATGACCATGTTGCTTATATATCACGCTAGTAGGGGATGTCATTTTCCCTTCTCAGCAAGAGAAGCTGCCATGCTAAATAGTTTTGTAACTTTTTGAATGAGAAACCTTTAGGTAAAGATAAACCGTCATAAAGTATCTGTCAGATGCATTTGTGTTGGCTATGGGGAAAAGATGGCAGGAAAAACCAAGTCACCGTTTTTGAAAAAACAATTTAAAGACTGAGAAATTCTGTTATGTGAAGTATGACAATATAAAAACATGCATTTAGTTTTATACTAAATGGTTTTTTAAGGTCTTCAATATTTAATATAAAGCAAACTCACATTTTCTAACTTTATCATGAGTTCCTAAATGGGAAAGAAGAAACCTCAGTCTTGAAACTTTGATTTAAAAGAAAAAAATCATAGCCAGGCGTGGTGGCATAAACCTTTAGTCACCACTCAGGAGGCAGAGGCAGGTGGATGTTTGTGAGTTGAAGGCCAGCCTGATCTAAATAGTGAATTTCAGGACAGCTGGGGCTACAGGGAGACCTGGTCTCAAAAAGACAAAAAAAAAAAATCATGATAGTGTTTCACCATGAAATTAAGTAGCTAAGTTTCGGTAACACTATTTGTTTCTTTGTTTGTAATAATGGACATTTTAAAATACAGGAATGCTTTGGTTTGTACAGATTTTGACAATGTGTGTTAATAAAAATTCATATTGACTCAAGTGAAACAAAACAAAATCAGCATCTAGAAATCAGTAATGACCAGTTAGAAACTGTTTTGAAAGAAAATATTGTCAATTTTATGTACATGTGTACAGAATAATTCTGATTAAAACAATTCAACCTGAGGGGCTGCAGAGATGGCTCAGCGGTTAAGAACACTGGTTGTTCTTGCAGAATACCTGGGTTCGAATCCCAGCACCCACATGGCAGCTAACAACTGTCCATAACTCCAGTTCCAAGGGATCTGGCAGCCTCTTCTGTCCTCCAGAGGCATTGCACAACACGGGTGCACTCACCTACATGCAGACAATACACACATATACATAAAATAATTTTTTTTTAATGTGATCCCAACACTTGTGTCAAAACAGAATCAGTAGGTCTTTCAAAAGCCACAAACTGCTGGGCATGGTGGCACACGCCTTTAATCCCAGCACTTGGGAGGCAGAGGCAGGTAGATCTCTGGGAGTTCAAGGCCAGCCCTGGTCTACGTAGTGAGTTCCAAGTCGGCTGGGGCTACAGGGAGACCCCGTCTCAAAATGACCAAGTAAATAAGGTTTTAAAATAAATAACAAGCCACAAAGTATACTTGTTTAAATACAGATCAAAAATTTAACGATCACTCTTTTTTTGGTGGTTTTTGTTTGTAACAGGGTCTCATGTAGCCAAGACTGAACTCAAGCCTGCAATGATCTTCCTGCTTCTGCCTCCCTAGTGCTCAGACGATGGGCATGTACCACCATGCCCAGAACCATCTCTAACACACGAATTACCTGCTTCTGCTTATTTTGAATGTTCTTGGTTGCTCTTCTATTCTAACCTGTTGTAGTCAATCAGAAAGCCTATTACTTTTCACATTTCTACTACAACATACCTAACAGAAACAAATTCAGGTTTCCTTTGGTTCATGATTTTAGAAGGTTCAGCTCAGGCAGGGTGGGTGTGTCATGGCAAAGTAGCCGATGGTATCTCGGACCAGGAAGCAGATGTGGAAATGCTGGCACTCTCCGCTGGCTCTCTCCTTTTCCCTTTTACTCCACCTGTGCCCCTCGCCCGAAGGGTGATACTGTCCACATTTAGGAAGGGTCGGCCTCCCTTAGTTAATGCACTCTGAAAATATGTGTGTAGAAACACCCACAGGTGTCTCACCAATATCCTAGGTGATTCTAAACACAGTTTGACAGTGAAAAGTAATCATCAGTTATAACTCAGTTTCTATGTCTTGAACACCTGAAATTTTAAAATTTGGAAATTTTTGGAAAAGACAAACCAATACTGACAGAATAGATCAGTGTCAGGGTCTTGAGTGGGAGGAGGGAGTCAGCTACAAAGGGACACAGAATGTTACAGGGTATTGGAAATATTCTGTGTTGGATGTGTTGATGGTCATAGAATGAGCTGGGTGTGGTGGCACATGCTTTTAATCCCAGCACTTAGGAGGCAGATCTCTATGAGATCAAGGCCTTCCTGGTCTACAGAGCAAGTTCCAGGCTAGCTGGGGCTGCAAGGAGACCCTGTTCCCTGCCCCCGAAAAAAAATAAAATAAAATAAAGCACATCAAACAGGATATGTGATGCGTAAGTGGGTAAAAGCATTTGCCATAAAGCCTGAGTACACAACACACTGGCACTCACCTGTAATCCTAGCACTCCTACAGTGAGATGGGAGGCAGACAGAGGAAGCACCAAAAGCTCATAGGCCAGCCAGACTGGAGCACAGAGTGAAATAAGAGAAAAAGAGACCCTGTCTCAACTAAGGGGAGAGGGGAGAAAAGATTCCCAACAGTTGTCCTCTGACCTTCACAGACATGTGATGCCATAGGTGTGTCCATACTTACACACACACGATAAATAGATATCTAGGTAATTTATTTTAGATAGATATCTAGGTAAATTAGATATTAGATAAATTTATCTAATTTATCTAGATAAATAGATATCTGGGTAATTTATTTTTGTTTTGTGGGTACGTTTTGCCTGCATGTATGGAAGTGCACCCATGTTGTGCAATGCCCATGGAAGCTGAAACTAGAATTAAGTCCCCTGGAACTAGAGTTCCAGGTGGTTGTTAGCCACCATGTGGGTACTGGGACCTGAACCTGGGTCCTCTGCAAGAGCAGCCAGTGCCCTTAACTGCTGAGCCATCTCTCTAGCCTCATAGATGGGTGGTTTTAAAAAAGAATCTATGACAAGAGACATCAGGATGGTGTTTGCAGACTTTTGAAGTAGAGATGGTACTATGATAGAACACACAGGGGCATGGCAGGTGTGCATAACCTCATGTAAGGACACTGTTGGTCCTTGTTGCTGTGTCTGGCAAGGTTTACAAGTGATAAAGTAAAACTCTAGGTCACAATGTTAGAGTGAAACCACCAAGAACAAGTCAGCCTTCGGGTTGCAACAGCAAGAGGTTTATTGAAGTACACAGGTACCTGCGGGCGCACCAGGCTCGGAGCTGTGAGCGCCCCGGGTGGGTCGGGGGTAGCACTTATATACCTAAAGCCAGAAGCAGGTTCTTACAGAAGCAGATGCATGGTAACAGACTTGTGATAGGAGGATTCAAATCAGGCAGTGGTGGGGCCATCTGGAGGAGGGCTGGCATGACCGACAGTTGGGTTCGGGGAATTTAGATCAGTATCTACTTCCGCTTGTTTTTGGCCATTCTGGGCACATCTGGGTTTCTGGGGTTTTTCCACTCAGGGTTAGAACATTCTTTCCCACGGCTGCTTGTTTTTCAAAGTTGAAGGGGCTACATCTCGAGGGTCTTTCATTCCCCACTCTTTCTAGTGCCTGGGAAAAATCTTTTACCTTTGTTACGGGATTGTTAAATGGGTGGTGACCCTAGGGCACAGAAGTTATTTCTTGATTTCCCGGTATCGGGCCCTGCGGGTGGCCAGATGTCCTAACCATAAAACTTGTTTACCAGTAAGTTTAAAATTTGACCAGTACGTGACCCGCCTGAGGGTCTTCATGGCGCCTGCCTGGTCTTTGTTTTTCATTCCTCCCTTTTTCTTGTGAATATGGAGGGGAATCTTTCCCTCCCTTATAAGTTATCAAATTCATCTGTTTTTAGGGCTCGGTACTGACTAGTCAAGACCAAGGTCTGAACGACTGATAGCCTTTCTCATATGAACTGAACCAGTCGGTTAAAAATGCAGGGACCTAGGGTCAGAATTAGGAGCAGGAAAACCAGGGACCCAAGGAGAGGTAGAAGATAGGGCAGGATCCCATTCCACATGCTCCGCATGGGGTTTGCAAAGAGCTCTTGGCGTCTTTTTTCTAGCTCTTCTTGGTGCTTTCTGATCCGATCCCTGACGATCCCGGACTTGTTGGTATAAAAGCAGCATCTTTCCTGTAAGTCTAAACAAATACCTCCCTTGTCTGCTGTTAATAAATCAAGACCCCGTCTATTTTGTAAGACAACGTCGGCCAGTGAGTCTACCTGGTCCTGAAGATCTTGTACAGACCGACAGACCATATTAACATCATCAATTAACTGCTGAGATAATTTGTTGTAGGTGTCTATTGCCACTCCTACACCAGCTGAGCCAGTAGCGAGTGCTCCTGAGATACCCAGTCCAATAAGCAATGGAATAAATTGGACCGCTCGTTTGTGCCTAGGAACGAATGTGTCAAAGCTAGGCAAAGGCACAGGCTCATCTCCTGGAATTATGTCTATGTCTGGCAAAAGCAATGCGGGGGCACATGAACCAGTCCAATTAGTGGGTAAATAAGGATAGGCCATGTTATTTCCACATACGTAAATTCTTCCCCCCCCAAACAGCCTGTCTGAGAGGTCCTGATGAACCTAGAGCAGGTAGTAAACATAGATAATCTAAGATCTACATCAAAGGAATTATTTTGAAAAAGATTAAAAAGACAAACAGATGTATTGAAGTAACGGGCAGGACCTTAAAAGGCGTGGAATAGCTACAGTTATCTGGAGAGGGGAGTATATTAGATTCATTGTTTAAAGGTATAACTAGAGGCCATGAAGTTCCTAATGCAAGACACAGCCAGCAGTCCTCTGCTAGGGAAGGATTAGAGCAGTTCAGGGCATCATGGGTGGCAGTAAGGATCTCCATGGTCTGAGGGTCTAAATTAAGGCCTCTGGGTTTTGGTAGTAATAGGGGATGATAATGGAAGCGAGGCAGGAGAGACTCTCTTTGTTTTTACAATGTAGTTTGAACATATTCTTCTTTAACTTGGTCTGTCAGGCCCCCTCCATCTGATATGTGGATCGGAGCTTGTTGTGGCCAACATGCCTTTTTCCCAGGTTCTACATAACAGCCTGCACTAAGGGTTTTAGAATTATATTTTTCTGATCCTATTACCTGAGTATTAAGGGCCCAATCCGAGCCCCCAGAGGCTTTTTTATAAGAAATGGCCGTGGAGTAAAAATACAGGATGTTATTTTTTTTACATTCAGTAAAGGAGGTATAACAGGATGAGTGCATAGCTTGAGTGAAAATACAATCATTGGGGCACTTACCATCAGCTGGTGGCACGATAGGCTTGGGTTTCGATACACACGTCCAGCTCTGTTCGTGTTGCTGGGTATGTGTACCATGAATAGCAAGATATGCAGTCTTGCCTCCACAATCAAATGTTAGAGTGAAAAGTTTCGGTGGCATGGTACCCTCATTGCCACCTCTACATTCACAAGGGGGGCCGTACCGAGTTAGCATAAACCTGGTAGCATTAAGTGGCTGAAAGCCACCATCTATGTTCTTAACTAAATGCATAAAGATACAAGCCCAGGCTGTTATGCTTAATGATTGTCCTTGACCAGTCTTATCTTTAGAGGGTCTGAGGTCCGGGTCAGCCGCCATTTCTCTGCTGGGTCCTTCAGCAAGGATTCTTGGTGTGCAGGTTCAGCCGCTTTAGCGTGCGAAGCGTGGATCCAGGCTGCGATCCCGTCAACTTTGAGGGCTGTAGGAGTGGTGAGGAGGACGGTGTAGGGTCCTTTTCAGCGGGGCTCTAAGTTCCGGGTCTGATGTCTCCGAACCCAAACGGTGTCACCTGGTTGAAAGGGATGGGGGGCGATAGGGGTGTCAATAGTGTCCTGATAAGCAGCAGCTAAGGGTTTCCAGATCTCCTGGTGCGCCAGCTGTAATGCGCGCAGGTGCGCGTGCAAGGAGGGAGTGCTAGCAAAGTTAGAGATATCGGGGTCCAAGAAAGAAACAGCTGGAGGGGGAGCCCCATACAGGATCTCGAAGGGAGTTAGACCACTAGGTCCAGGAGTATTCCTGGCTCAGTATAGGGCCAGGGGGAGTAGGGTCACCCAGTCTTTAGTGCCAGTTGCCAGCGAAAATTTAGTTAAAGCCTCCTTAATGGTTCTATTCATTCTCTCTACCTGACCTGAACTCTGGGGTCTGTAAGCACAATGCAATTTCCATTCGATCCCCAGTAACCTGGCCACCTTCTGACTTACCTGGGAGACGAAGGCCGGTCCATTATTTGACCCTATTACCTGAGGCATCCCGAAGCCAGGAAAGATGTCTTCCAGTAATTTTTTAGATACCATCTTCGCAGTTTCGGTTTTAGTCAGGTACGCCTCTGGCCATCCTGAGAAAGTATCAATAAAAACTAACAAGTACTTATACCCATACATTCCCGGTTTGACTTCAGTGAAGTCAACTTCCCAATGGATTCCCGGCCGATGGCCTCTTTGCCTCACTCCCTGTTTGGCTTTGTTTCTGCCTGCATTTACTTGGGCACAGGCCTTACAGTTCTTGACGATTCTTTGCAGGATGGCATCCTTGTTTGGGAGATAGTGTATGGTTTCTTCGCGTTCGATTAATTTTCTCATTTTGTTAACTCCCAAGTGAGTCCATTTGTGGAGCTCGTCCAGAAGCTCCTCCACCGACCGTTAGGGTAGGACTGTCTTTCCCTGATATTCCCAATACCCTGTTTCTGGGTTGTTGAATGCTCCTATTTTCTTGAGCAGTTCTCTATCCTCTGGAGAGTAGTCTCTGATGGCTTCTCTTCTTTGGTGCTCCAGGTCTATCCTTGAGGTCAGCAGTCGACTCCTGGAGGTGATCTCTTTTGCTGTCTGGTCCGCCAGGTGATTCCCCCTTGCCTCTGGATGGTTTCCCTTTTGATGGTCTGGACAATGCATAATGCTGAGCTCCTTTGGTAAGAACAGAGCCTCTAGGAGCGCGGTGATTTCAGCTTTGTTCTTTATTTCTTTTCCTCCTGAAGTTAGGAGTCCTCTTCTCTTGTAGATTTCCCCATGGATGTGTGCGGTGGCGAAAGCATACCGGCTGTCGGTGTATACATTTAGTCTTTTGCCTTCTGCAAGGCGCAGAGCCTGCGTCAGAGCCACCAGCTCAGCTTTTTGCGTGGATGTTCCTTCTGGTAGGGGTTCTGCCCATATTACTTTGCTGTCCGAGGTGACCGCCGCCCCTGCCCAGCGCTGACCTTCTTCGAGGAAGCTGCTTCCGTCCGTGTACCAGGTGTAGTCCGCCTTCTCTAGCGGCTTATCGCTGAGATCTGGTCGGGTGCCAAAAACCTCAGCCAGGACGTGATGACAGTCATGGTCAGCTTGGAGGTTGGGCTCTTCTGCAGAGGGCAGCAATGTCGCGGGGTTGAGAGCGACGGGTGGTCCAAACTGGATGCGGTCAGTGTCCAACAGCAAGGCCTGATAATGGGTCATTCGGGTATTCGAGAGCCATCGATCCGGGGGCTGCTTAATGAGAGACTCTAAAGCGTGGGGGACCTGAATGCAAAGGGGCTGGCCCATGGTCAACTTGAAGGCATCTTTGACCAGGATCGCCAGGGCTGCCACCATCCTCAGGCAAGGCGGCCAGCCGGCAGCCACTGGGTCTAGTTTCTTTGACAAATAGGCTACGGGGCGTTTCCATGGCCCCAACTTCTGAGTTAGGACCCCCTTGGCATACCCCAATTTTTCATCAACGTACAGTTCAAAGGGCTTTGTCAGGTCAGGCAGGCCAAGGGCTGGTGCTTCCAGGAGGGCTCTCTTTATGCTATCAAAAGCCTGTTGGTGGCGGTCTTCCCAAATGAAAGGCTCATCTGACTTAGTCAGGAGGTATAGGGGGGCCGCCATTTCCGCGAACCCTGGAATCCATAGGCGGCAGAACCCGGCAGTCCCCAGGAATTCTCTCACCTATCTTTGGTCACGAGGTGTCGGGATGTTCAGGATGGTCTCTTGTCGAGTTTGTGTCAACCATCTCTGTCCCCTGTTCAGTCGGTACCCCAAGTAGGTCACCTCTCGTTGGCAGAGCTGCGCCTTCTTTGCAGAAGCCCTGTAGCCCATCCGCCCCAGTTCTTGTAAAAGAGCCTCCGTACCTGTTAGACATTCTTCCTGGGTCTCTGCCGCCAGCAAAATGTCATCTACATATTGTAGCAGAATCAGATGGGGGTGGAGGGTCCTGAAAGCAGTCAAATCCTGGTGCAGGGCCTCATCAAAGAGGGTAGGGCTGTTCTTGAATCCTTGTGGCAGCCGGGTCCAGGTGAGTTGACCAGAAATCCCCAAATCAGGGTCCTTCCATTCGAAGGCGAACAGGGGTTGACTTTGGTGATGCAACTTCAGACAGAAAAAGGCATCCTTTAAATCCAACACAGTATACCAAGTGTGGCTGGGAGACAGGGTACTTAGTAGGTTGTAAGGGTTTGGAACTGTGGGGTGGATATTTTCCACCCGCTTGTTTACTTCTCTCAGGTCCTGCACTGGCCTATAGTCCCCAGTTCCTGGTTTCTTGACAGGCAGCAAGGGAGTGTTCCAGGCTGACCGGCATGGGATTCATATTCCTTGTTCTAGTAGTCTCTTAATATGTGGCCTAATTCCTTGGCGGGCCTCGGCCATCATGGGGTATTGTTTAACAGCCACTGGGGTCGCGGTGGCCTTTAATTCAATGACTAGGGGCGGCTGGTGTATTGCCAAGCCCATTCCCCCGGTCTCTGCCCAAGCGTCGGGATACTTGGACAGCCACTGGTCTAAGTTCTTCTGAACGGGAGGAGGAGCAGGATATAGTCTATATTCATCCTCTAGCTTGAAGGTGAGTATTTGTATTGGTTCCCCTTTGGGACCTGTAATTTTGGCTCCTTCTTTCTCAAAGTAGATGTGGGCCCCAAGTTTGGTCAGTAGGTCTCGTCCTAATAAGGGGTAGGGGCAGTCTGGTACATGCAAGAAGGTATGAGTTACGGTTCCAGAAGCCAGCTGGACTTTGCGGCCTGTCGTCCAGCGATACCGCTTCGCTCCTGTGGCCCCTTCCACTAATATGGTTTTCTTACTGAGAGGGCCGGTCGTTTGGGTGAGGACAGAATGTTGTGCTCCGGTGTCTACCATGAAGGTGACTGGCTCCCCCCCACATGAAGAGTTACCCTAGGCTCAGGGGGGGGTTCCTGGCCCCGACTTCCCTAATCGAGGTTGAGGATCTCAGCTTTCTCTTCTTTTGGTTTCTTCTTTCTCTTGGGACAGTTCCTTGCCCAGTGTCCTCTTTCTTTGCAGTATGCACACTGGTCTTTTTCTAATCGAACATGCCCTCGGTCTCCCGCTCTTTCTATCTTGACCTCATTTTCTTTTCTGACTACTGTGGCCAGGATTCTACTCAACTCCTTGTTCCGCTTTCGGTCTCTCATTGTTTCCCTGTCTTCTGCTTCTCTTTTCTGTCTTTCCTCTTTTTCTTCTGGAGTTTCTCTCTTGTTAAAAATCCTCTCTGCCTCCCTCAAAAGGTCTCTAAGACCCTGCCCCTGTAAGTTCTCCATCCTTTGGAGTTTGCCCCTAATATCTGGAGCTGACTGCCATATAAAAGACATGGAAACACTTACTTCCTGATCAGGGCTGTCAGGATCAAAGGGAGTGTACCTTCTGTATGCTTCTTTAAGTCTTTCTAGAAATACAGTGGGCGGCTCATCTGCCCCCTGTGTTACTGCTCTTACCTTGGCCAAATTGGTAGGGCGTCTTCCTGCCCCTTGGAGGCCCGCTACAAGCACCTGGCGATAAAGACGTAGGTGTTCCCTACCTTCAGCCGTGCTGAAATCCCAAGCGGGTCTGGTGAGGGGAAAGGCCGCCTCGATCTCGTTTGGCAGTTGGGTTGGTCTCCCATCCGCCCCTGGGACATGTTTTCGGGCTTCCAAAATTACTCTCTGTTTTTCCTCCATAGTTAGGAGGACCTGTAAGAGCTGTTGGCAATCGTCCCACGTGGGCTGGTGGGTGAGGAGGATAGACTCTATCAGAGCTGTCAGGGCCTGTGGGTCCTGAGAGAAAGACGGGTTATGAGTTTTCCAATTATATAGATCTGATGCGGAGAAGGGCCAATACTGTAACTGGTTTCCTTCCCCTCCTGCGAGTCGGAGGGGCAGGATGTGTGAGGAATCTCCTTGTCCTCTCCTGTCTCTGAGTCGCCCCGCGATGGGGGAGGGAGCGACCTCCGGTCCCTCTGCCTGGGCATCGTCTGGAACAGCCGCAGCGGCCTGCGGAGGAGGGTGGTAGGGAGGGGGATTCTCACTCAGCAGATCATCCCGGGGTAAAACAGGCTTTGGTTTCACTACAACAGGGTACAGAGAGACGGGTGAAGGGTCCGGGTTAGGGGCAGAGGGGAGGGGGATTCTTCGTGAAGGACTGAGAAAAGGAGTCACCCACGGTGGTGGGTCAAGGGAGAGGTTTTCCCAAGTGACTATGTAGGCCACCTGGTCCGGGTGCCCCATGGGTCTGGGTGTGAAGATTCTTCCTTTAACTCGTGAAATAATATCAAGGGCAAAGGTCCCATCCCGGGGCCACTCAACATCGAATGTTGGCCATTCTGAGGAACAAAAAGTTATCCAGCGATGTTTTTTGATCTCCACCGACTGGTTATGTGCTCGGCTCTTAACTTCTTTCCAGTGATCTAGAGTTAAACTCAGGGGTGTTGTTAGTTGTTGACCCATAGCAAAAGATTAATTCGAATACGCACAGAGAGAAGAAAAAACACGGACAGACGCAGCGCAGAACAGAGGTTGCAGAAGGACTCTGCCCAGATGACAGGGAAAATTCCTGTCCAAATGAGACCCCCAAATCC